ATCCTCTGCCTCTGGTGGCTTACAACATACTTAAACTTAGGTTTTAGAACAGAAAAAACGGGCATACAAAAGTCCAAAATGCCCTAAAAAAATGTTTAACTTCGGGTAGGAAATCGGCCGCAGCGGCCAGGCACACCCGCTGCACCCTGGCCGCTGTGTGGGATGCGGGTGGAGCGGCTAGGGTGACCCGCTCCAGGCATCCGCTGCAATTTAAGACGCGCGGCTGGTTGGAGCCGCTGTGGGTCGGTCGCTGCGCTTGGGAGCGGCTTGGCTCACCCGCTCCATGTTGCCCGCTGTGAGTGTCTGGCCACAGCGACCAGGCAGGGCCGCTGTGAGTCGGTCGCTGTGGCTCTCTCCGGGTCTAGATCACTCCTTTTGCTTCTTTTGAGCCTCTAATGAATCCCAAATGTCTCCAAAGCTTCCATGTGAAACTCCAATACCTAAAGAGGACTCATGTATGCAAAATGCAACATAAACATGGCTAGAACCTAACCTACATGATGAAAAGGTATGCAAAAGAGTAGATAAAACAATGCAATAATGCAAGACATCAATTATGAACTCTTTCTCTCTATAAATCTTTGTGTATTACTAACAATCATTGACCTCATCAGGGTCAAGTTGACTCATATCATCAAACATTAGTTCGCTAGTCGTAACAACAAGCACACTAGAAATTTAAACTCTACATAATATATTTATACAAACACTTCTTATTATATTTTTTGTTAAGTATGTGAATTTCATTAACAGATAATGACACAGAGAGATTACAAGTGTTTGAAGAAATCAAAATCCTAGAAATCTAAAGCGCTAATTAAAGCATAAGTGTTAGAGAAAGCCACAAAAAAGGTAAAAAGACTCTCTAAAACAAACTAAGGTTTAGGCACAATCTCCAAAAGACATGACTAAAGCTTGGCAAACACTTCTTATTTGCCATGTCATTTTCTTTCGTGATCTTCTTCTTCCGATAACATACATGTCCTCAGTGGCCTATCGATCTTCTACATGAATTCGTGAAGTTAATTGTCTCCGCTGAATCAGAAGATGTAGATTCGGTCGAGCACTCGAGCATTAGCATGGTGTACGAGTAAGAATTTAAGTACATGCAATACATTAACAAACCAATGTAGAGAAAACGACTATAAGATTAACCATAACCACACAAGATATATACGAGTAACAGTACTCGCTTTTATATAAACAGACCAAACATTGTGGACCAAGAAAAACGTGGAGTGAAAACATAAACAAAAAATATTTTCATGTGGTTCTGAAGGAGTGAAAACTGCGGGGGGGGGCCGTGGAGCCTTTGTTGCTCCCAAAGATGGACCATCACCTTTCACGTCTGGCCTATACAACCCTTCCGAAGCTGAAAGATCGATAAAAGAGTAAAAACTAAGAGACAGACGTATCCTACTATAGCGGTATGAATCGGTTACAAGAGATGTATCTTGTCGAAATTACTTTGCAAGCATTTATTTGTTTTTTAATGGAAAGTGTTTGCTCACGTTCGTGAAATATATTGGGTTATTCAAGAACCAAAATATTTAAAGTCTTATTTTCTTATCTCCCCACTATCTATTTTATCTCGACAAGAGGTTTGGTGCAAGTGAACCATATAATAAACTCTAAATTAAATGGACCCACGAAAATGAAACTTGAGGTTTGATAGATTCTTATCCAAAACGATAAAGTTTAGTACATTTCTCCAAATCTTAACTTCTTAAATAAAACTAAATCTCATGTGTCTCTCTCGGATCTCTCCTTATAGAATGCAACTGGGAATATTAAATGGATCCACGTATTGAAGTATATAAGTTTCATAAACAATTACGAAGACTTATAATACTATTTTAAATCTTCTTACGATGCTGATTGACTAAAACACCCTGTTGACACGTCAGTCTGACTTGGATTTGACCCAAAAAGCGTTGGAAAACAATATCAATACCAATAAGGCAATAATAATATTTTTACGTGTAGGCTTGTGATAGAAACAATAATATTCCACAAAGGCCCTCATAGCCTTATGTATTGCTAGATTATCTCAGTACTTATTTCTGTGATGAATAATAACCCTTTAGGCCATCCGGATCAAAATAAGAGATTGAAGATGTGCAAAGCTTTTGAGAAAATTCTAAATTAATATAAATATGTATCATAAGATTCTCTAATTGAAATTGCTAAATAATGATTTATCAATGTCATCGTAAATGTGGAATCAGATTATTAAAACTTTTGGTTAGACTATCCTAATGTATTTTTTTATGTTTACCTTTATAATAAATTAATTTTTTAATAGTTATAAAAGTTACTTCAACATATTTTATAGAATAGTATTATTTAAAATATAGAGCAAACATTTTTTTTGTTGGGAAAATAGAGTAAAAAATATATATTACTATTTTCCTCTAAATATAGAGAAAATAGTAATCTCTATTTTAGATGAAAATAGTAATCTCTATTTTAGATGAAAAAGTAATCTATTTTAGATGAAAAATAGAGATAGACTAAATTAATTTTGATTTTGAACAAAAAATTGAATTAATTTTGATTCTAATTGTTATTCACTATTACAAAATAAAAATAGCAATGGTTAAAAATGATTCTTATCTTAGTGAAGTATTTTAAGGAAAAAAAAAACATTTACGATAATGGAAGGTTCCTAGGATGAAGTTCTTAGCGGAATATAATAACCTATCTCTTAATTTTTAACTAAAAAAAATTAAGAACTGACTTTTAAATAAGAGTTTTAAGAACTAATTCTTAACCTTTTTAGTTAAAAATTCAGAGACAGATTTTTATATTCCGCTGAGAACTACACCTTAAAAACTCCCAATTAAACATGCTATTAGTGTTTTCAGCTATGACTTCGGGTAAAATCCTACATTTCAAAATACCGGACAGAACAGAATATACCAAAAGTTTTTGGTGTGAATAAGAATACACTAATCTTCTCGAGGCCTTGAGGGGCAAAAATCTGCTAATTTAATATCCTACAACAAAGTATTATTAAAATGCAAAAGCTGCCCAATAGATAAGAAGAAAGTTGTAGGGAGAAGCCGAAGCAAAAGAAAAAATTCAAAAAAGAACTTAAAACAAAAATGGAAAAAGTTTTCTCTGTGGAAGAAACCTCCTGTAATAACGACCATCTTTGGTCGGAACCAGCAAAAGAATCTGATGGAACGTCTGGAATGAACCGTAGTGACTCCGAGTGGGCATTCCATCGCTTCATTCAAGAATCCTCCGCCGCCGCAGAGGACGCTGCATCTGCGTATGGCGTTTCTGTCTCTGAACCTGCTTCTCCGGTAGATTCTCATGACTACAGAGAGATTCTGAAGAACAAACTCAATCTAGCTTGTGCTGCTGTCGCCATGAAAAGGGTAAAACACTAATCTCTCTCTTTGTCATGCTTCATTGATACACGAAACCGAATGATTACTAGCTCAAGACAATCCAATTATTTTGTAAATGGAAAATGCAGTTTTTGAAAGTCTATAAGTAAAAACAAAACCTTTTATTCTGTATGTTAATGTTATGGTTTGAATTTGTGAACTTTATATTATCTTCACAAAAACTTACACTTTTTTCACATCAGAAAAAAAACTTAAACACTTTTTTTATTATATAAAATGATTTGGATATGTTAATGTTTGAAAATTGATAGGGAGCTTTCATAAAACCTCAGGATACATCTGGTAGATCTGAGAATGTTGGAGCTTATACATCAAGTGCATCAGACCAAGGCTCCTTAGCTTCTTCCACAGGTAGTTAATTGCTTAAACAGTGCTCTTATGTTTACTTGTATGATGAGCCCTTTCAAGATGTTCTTGACAGTTCATTGACTTATTATTGTATGGTTTTGCATTTACAGCTGCACCAGTGATGAGCAGTACCATAACAAGTGGATCCGAGTTCTCTGGTGATGAAGAAGAAGCTGATGGTGAAACTAATATGAATCCTACTAATGTTAAGCGTGTCAAAAGGTAACCATCCTTCTTTCTTTGATTAATAGTTTTCCTTTTTCATAAGACAAGACCAAACATGAACATTTGTTTTGTGTACCTGTTGTAATTACAGGATGCTCTCTAACAGGGAATCAGCTAGACGATCAAGAAGAAGAAAGCAAGCACACCTGAGTGAGCTAGAGACACAAGTATGTTATTAATCTTTTGTCATATTTGTTTTCTTTTTCACCTCACTTATTACAATCTCCATGGTAGGTTTCAGAGCTGCGTGTAGAGAATACAAACCTCTTGAAAGGTCTCACTGACGTAACTCAGACATTCAATGACGCATCTGTTGAAAACAGAGTTTTGAAAGCTAATCTAGAGACACTACGAGCTAAAGTACAAAAAAAAAGTCCATTTCCCTTCTCCTCTAAGATCAAAAGTAAACAAAGGCCATAATCAAGACTTTTTTATTTCAGGTGAAAATGGCTGAAGAGACAGTGAAGAGAATCACAGGGTTTAACCCAATGTTCCACACTATGCCTCAGGTTTCAAGTGTCTCTAATTCTTCAGACACAAGCATTCAAACGACCACACCGGAGATCAGCTCAAGCAGCAACAAAAGCAAAGGGTTGGTAGGTTGCAAAATGAACAGAACAGAGTCGATGAGGAGAGTTGCGAGTTTGGAGCATCTGCAGAAACGTATTCGCAGCGTTGGCGATAAGTAGCGTTGTGAAGAAGAAGAAACTTGATTTGTATAACATTATCACAGATAGAGAGAGGCATTGAGACAAAAAAAAGTTATATGTTGTGTAAAGAATTGTCTGACCTAGTTTTATCTCTGATTCTCTCTTAATGTATTGTCAATCTCTTTTTCAACATGTAATATCCGGTAATATTTTAGAAAATATATATTTCAAGAAACAAATGGAATGTTATTTTCTCAAATATTAGTCTCAGTTTATATCAAACAGGTCTAAAATTTGAAAAATTGGATATCCGATTTTATTCCATTTTGACGGTTTAGATGATTGCATAATTTCTGATTAATCTCTAATTTATGATTTATTATTATAAATTAATAAAATACTTTAATAGTTTACATAAGTATCAATAAAAATATAGATGATTACATATATATTTTTGTTCAATAAAGGTAGACTCCTAAAATATTTTTATTAATTTATGATAATAAACTGTATACTTATAAATATTATTAATTGAAAATATTTAAATTGATTAAATATTATAATTTTTAATTTTCTTTTTTATATCTGGAAATATTTTAGAAAAATTATATTTCAAGAAACAAATGAAGTATTATGTTTTCATTACTAAAAGAGATTTGTATTTAGTAGTTGAGAAAATATAAGCTATAAGAATTTTATTTTTATTTTTAATTGGATAAAAGAAAGAAAAAAAACAGAGATAACGTTAGAACCAGAAGAAAGAAAAAGGATTAGAAGAGGAAGCTATGGCGACATCTATTGCGACTCTATCTTCTCCGCCACCACTTTCTCTTTCTCTCCCTCTCTCGTCATCTCGCTCTTCCTTATTCTCCAACTGTTTCACAGTGACTACCCGAAGACCAAAGACTCGTTCTTTGGTTGCGATTCGACCGGAGCAGAGGAGAAGAAAGGCTTTCACTTGTAATGCTCTGTTTGGTCTCGGTGTCCCTGAGCTTGCTGTGATCGCTGGAGTCGCTGCGTTGCTTTTCGGACCTAAGAAGCTTCCTGAGATTGGCAAGAGTATTGGCAAAACCGTCAAGAGCTTTCAACAGGTTTGCTTGATTATTAAAAAAAAACTGATATTACTTTGGAATATATAAACTATAGTTTTGGTTTGTGTCAAGTTTGTTGATTTAGTTGGAATTGATGTTTAAAAAAGGTCTTTAAGAAGAAATGTGTTTTTTGGGAGTTTTATGTTTCAAGTGCTTATTAGTTGTATGGTTTCTGTCTGAATTTTGTTAGAAATGTTAATAACACTCATAAGGATCTGAAATTGAGTGTTTGGCTATTCTTCTTATTAATATAAAAACACTCTACTTGTATGTTTTGTGTTGGTTTTAGCTCTTCTTGTGTCTTTGATATTTTGCATTGATGAAGGGCTCTTGTGGGGGTTTTTGTAATGATGCAGGCTGCAAAGGAGTTTGAATCTGAGCTGAAGACGGAACCTGAAGATTCTGTTGGTAGCTCGTCGTCTCCGGTAGCAATGAGCAACAAGGAAGAGGAGAAAACTGAGGTTTCGTCAAGCTCAAAGGACAACAATGTATGATGAGTGATTGAGACCTTTTTTTTTTTGCTTTTCATGTAGCTAAATGAGTTTAGATCAAATACTCTTTTGTTAAGGGAAACAGACTTGTCTTCCTATAAAATATGGTTCTATGGTGTTTGAATCTATATAGCTTTTCTTCTTAAGAAGATAGAAAGCCTTTCAAAATAATCATTTTTTTAGCACCAGATGAACCTAAGACAGGATGCATAAACAGATTCAAGATGCTACTCTAGTTTAGACAGTGGAACTGAGGTAAACAAAAATACAAAATTTCTCATAACATAAGCTTCTGTTTGGATATTACAATTTCAATTTGTCAACAAGATTTTATTACTGAGCTAGTTTCTGTCTCTTTATCCTCTCTAACGTACCCAAAGTCTTTACCTGCACCTTACTGATCTTCTTCCTCTCTCTTTCTGACAAGTCCTCCAAACACAGCAGCAGGGACTTCTTTCTGAGCAATCTCTACTCTGTCTTCACCATTCCCCATCACTGGCTTCCCCTCATTCTCACCTGACTGTGAGATAACCCCTGCGCTCACAAACCCAACTCCCCTTCAACCATCTTTCACTGTAACCGTGGTAGACACTGGAGCCGCCATGAGCTGCCGCTCCAGTGCCTCCATTTCATCTTCCGCCAAACCTGCTTTCTTCAGCTCGTCTTTGCCCTCCTCCAGATCCACCATCTTGTCCCGTTCCATCATGTTCTCCAGGAGAATGAAATGAGTCTGACTGTAACTCGCGGAAACGCTTCAACTTGATCCAAAGCATCTCTCTGTAAGTGTCTTCATTCCCATGAAGCACCTCAAACTCGTGCCACTTGTTCCAGAACTCTGGGTCTGACCTTGGATCAGCGTACTGAGATGCCTACTTGTAGACTGTCTCAAGCTTCTCTCCAGCTCTGCAAACTTTATGCACATGATCTTCACGTCCTTCCGTAAAGGCCACCTCTAGCACATGTGTTCTTCCATTCTAGAAGAAACAAAGCGACTCAAACGCATACTCGTCCTTCCCAGTCTCTTATTAAACACACTTTTACTGCCCTCTCTAATGGACACCACTAGTCAACCGCCTTCGTACGTTCCTTCATCTTTATATATTTAAAAACTCAACCCAACCCACAAAGTGGACAGAGACCACGGTTTGATGCCTCCAAAACCTGTCAGTTCTCCATGAGTTCTACCGTTTGTTGTAAAACCGGATGGTTTTATAGCTTCAATAACTATGATCACGTAAAGTTTCTAGAACTTAGTTTCTTTTCCGCATCAAACTAAACCTCCTTAGCTTCAACTTATCACGTAAAGAGTAAAGAGATACGCTTAACATACAAATAGTATTAGTATACTACCATAGATAGAGACGTGGCCGCGTGGAAGCTAGATTTGTGAAGAAGACGACGACGGTGGTATTTAATTTCTGATCTAGTTTAGCTTATTTCTCGTATGGGTTCAGGGGATGGACAAAAAAATTCTCAAACAGAACTGTATTTGATTATCACATACAAAAGAGAAACATCAGCACATGTTATGTTTCCGTTACAGCATCAGCACTGTAAAAAAACGAAACCGCAAATAACCTTATTTCCGAAAGTCACAAGATACTACATAAAATCCCGGTTCGGTTCGGCTGAAAATATACCTTTTTCTCAGCTCTTCTTGTTATTAGTCTTAGGAGTTGTTTTGCGTTAGGGCATACCTGATACTTTAAGTGGAGGAATGACTGGAGGAAACAATCTCGTAACTCCCTGAGCTTCCACCCAAGCAGATAACTTCGGAACAGGCGAAAAAGTGGCGGCATAAGTTTTGTAATACCGTTCACAAGTGTAACAGTCCTCAACATACTGCAAAGGGTTGATTTTCAGCTTCTTGCAGACGGCTAGAGCGTGTAGACATGGGAAATTGTTGTTCTGAAAATCCCCACATGTGCAGCAGGTCGAGTCATCATTCAACTGGACGATCCATTCATCATTTTCTGACGTTGCAGCAACCTGAAACGCGTTGTTGTCTAACGGAATTATAGCGTAACTAACAGAAGAAGATGTCCTGAACTCTTTAAACTTATCAGTGACAGTTTCGGTGTACACATCTCCGCAGTTAAGAGAGAAACGGGTTACAAGAGAACGATCTTCAAAATAGTCTCTCAGCTCATCAAACAGAAGCAGAACAGAACCTGTGAGTACATGAGCAGCCAGGTCAAAGCCTCTACACTCTGCAAACAGACTTTCAGTATTTATCTCCATGATTCCGTATCTTCGACCGTTGTCATGAAGCAAAGACCACTGATTTTCACGGATTTGGTCTAACCTTCTCCAAGCTTCAGGGTTCTCCTTTTTGATAGTCTCTTTGTGGATTTGAAATACATCTGAGGCAATCTAACCCTGAGGCAATCATCAATTTCAACTTGTACTTCTTACCATTCAACTCTTTGATGTCCACTACGAGCAAAGGTCTACAGTGTTGAAACCCTTGGATGGACTGTGGAAAAGCCCAAAACACCCCACAGAAAGATGCAAACTTAGGATTAGGTAACAGATCATATCTCCAGTCCACAAGCAGTCCATTAGATGAACAAAAGGCAGACATTAACTTGGGCAAATCTTCAAAACTCTGATCCCAATCTCCAAACACACTTTTGATCGCATCCTCTTTCACACCTCGTATCTCTCCAGGTTTAAAGTTCATAGCCACTTTTGTCTTTCCACCACTTCTTCAACTCTGCAAATGACTGCGTGGGATGTACCCTGACCACACGTTCAAACTCATCTGCATCAAACTCCGATTCAAAATCTTCTGGATCTTTAAGACAAAAAGTATGAGGACCGATGTACTTGACTATCTCAAAAAGTCCGTGCTTCTCCATTCTAGTGGCAACAGGTGGCCACTTGCATTTCCATCTAACGCACTCATACAAACACTCATCCTTCCCACTCTTTAGTACTGCGCATTTTTTCTGCTCGTTAATAGAATACCAGTCCACTGCCTTCTTCAGCTCATCAACGTCTTTAAAACACAGCCCTACTCGCAAGTCATTATCGTCAAGCCACAAACTAGACAGCCACGGGTCTGAAACACCAGATTCGTTACTGCTGTTATTTCCTGTCAAGTTAACCACCTCTGCCCTTGAATTTTTCTTTGTCGTGTCACCATCTCTGACGCTGCCAACGTCCTCAGTCAACGCGTTACTGTTATCCCTCTCTAGCTTAATATCAGTCCTCTGTCTTTTAGAGGAGCTAACGGGAACAACATCAATCACTTCCATATACAATTCCACATTTTTAATACAAGGGTTTTTGCTTGGAACCTCAAGCATTGACTCCAAACTATGGTTGTTCACAACGGGCAGAAGCAAATACTGAAACTTGGACTGTCTAACAACTGAAGGATACCTACCAAATATTTTGACTTTGGATCTTTGCTTCTCATCAACAACATCTACTCCAGTAAGCACATACATCTCATCCAATAATCTGTTTAGTGCAATCTTTGGGTGCACTATAATCTTTTTAGGAGTGGATCCTTCATAGTATACACCTTCGGGGCCATACTTGATGGAACCGTTCCAGTAGCAGTACACTGTAACCTCTATTTCAGCCATGACCACAGCAAACCTGCAACGAATTCAAAGTTATATCCCTAAAATGTAAGAAATACAAACCTTAAAATGCAAACCTATATCTCATTTTCGAGCCCTAAAATAAACAGAAACGATTCTTATCTCTAAAACATCATGCAGCAACAGAAGGTGATAAAAAGCAAGATTAAAAAAATAAAACTAAAAACATGTAATCGAAGATGTCTAGAGACCTGAGAAAATGGAGATACTCGTCTTGGTAGTCACAAGAAAGCTCGAATGTTCAGAAATAGAAGCGATTTCAGTTGCAATAAAGATTTTTCCGGTGATCTGGTTAGGGAGGCACACAGTCACTCTCTCCCTGTCTCCCACTCTATAACCAAGTTTTTGGTTGCTAAGGAACCCTCGTGTATTCAAAATTAAAAAAAAAAAGGTTCAAAAAGTACATAACACGGATGGGCCGAAAGGCCCATTAATATGTAAGTGAGAAAAATAAAGCCCAGTAAACTTGCGTTCATCCGAAACCAACCTCATGTGTTTCATCAAAAGAACGTAATCCTAATTAGTAATCTGCATTAGCTCGGTCATTTTGGTTTTATTCAGTGTTCAAGAAATCGTCAGTTAAATGTTCGGACAAGAGAAGAGAAGTTGTTAGACAGGGAACGTCTTTGTTGTGTCCTCTGTACTAATTGCGGACCTCACGACCCGTGGTTTCGTCCTTGGTGTCCTTGGGGGGGGGAGAGGGGGGAATCACAAATTGCCAAAACCAAAGAGGACAAGAGAAGAGAAGTTGTTAGATAGGGAACGTTTTTGCTGTGTTCTATGTACTAATTGCGGACTTCACGACACGTGGTGATCCGCGATTAGTTCATTTTTTTTTCTAAAGAACACAAAACCAAAATAAAATAAAACTAAAAAAATTTAAGGACCAAACTTTGTCCCATTGATACTGATGCTCTAATAATGAGTCAATGACTGGTATCAAACTATGAGAACTATACAATGTTCGTTTTGGTAAAGCTTTTGGATTACTTAGTAAGAGTATCCGCAACAATGGTACTTAAAAAAAAATCTTTAAAACAAAAATAATTAAACAATCAGTGGATCTCACAAAAAATTAAGAATTAATCTTTAAAAAGCTCTAAATAAAGACTGGTCCTTGGTGAATCTTTGCACTATTTCCGGGTTTCCCACGAAACGTGTCCATTCGCGATTGGGTGGTATTTTTTTTTTTAATCTGAAAAAAATAATATTAAAAAATTAAAAACTAAAGACTCTAGTGGATAACACTGTTGCAGGTGCTCTAAGAGCATCAGTATTGGGCGTCCTTAAGTGAGTCCTTAGTATTTTTGGGCAAAAAAAGAAAATGAAAAAGACTCTAATTAGTTAAGAAATGTGTCCGGAAATCCCAGATTAAGAAGTTTTTGGACTGGTCCTTCTTCACAGGTGGCAACATTTGATTGGAGAATGTTGTGGTGTAGGACAAAGATCATGTTTTGTCTCACAACTCTCTCTCGAAACTCTCTAGACGGCGATAGTGGTCTTCGTGATTTGGTATCGATTTCATCCCCGATTCAAGAACCTCTGGACCGATCTATTGTCTCTCTAAACCGATCTATTGTCTCTCTCGATGGCGATAGAGTTTTGACGGTGATCCTCCCCTGATTTCATCTCGGATTCAAGAACCTCTCCACCAATTTCAATCAAAAAGGTATGTCTTTTCTACTCAATACTGATGCTCCTTTGTTGATTGGCCATTGGTTACTTGAGTTTTTTTAGATCGGCCGATGAAATTTGATGAAAGAGTTATATAGTGTTTTTGTAATGATATGATTCCCGTTTATAGCTTCCCGTTATCATTCCTGTTTATAGCTTCCCGTTATCATTTCCTAGATCGTTTGAGTTCCGGTTTAAATCCTACCAATATTCAAAAAATCAAGAAAAGTCCTTACATGAGTCCCTAATCATAAAATTAACATTAAGTAATCTTAAGGACTTAAACTGAGTCCCACCAATATTAATGCTCTAAGGATTTTAAAGGTGATAGGTTCCCTTTCCGTTGGGAGAGATATGCTTTTCCGAAGAGAGTTAACTTAAAATAGTTTAGATGAAATGATACTTATAAAATTGGTTAAATACAACAAGTAAAAAATACTGTCAAAAATTCTTATGAAATCAATCATATAATCCGTGCATTTGCATGATACAAGGCTCTTATGAAAAACATACTTCAAAATATCTTTTCATCGTAACCATCAGATCCACGACCATATATTAAAAAGTTTATATGCATACAGTACACAAATAAGAAAGGCCATTCCTCTCTTCATCTTGTTACCTTTGCACAACTATGCAGAAAGAGCCATATTTTAGCTCTTTCTCTATCTTTCTTTCCAAAACTTTTTTTCTTTTTTGTTCTTCCCTCTCTCGGAGAGATCCTACTTGGTAGGATTCTTTCTCTGTCCTATCTCACCAGCAATAGTAAACAATAAGTGTTTCAAGTTGAAACTTAAAAGTCACAACGTATACACTCATTTAGTGAGATTGCATGACAGAACATGCAACAGCTTGTGCCCAATGCCTTAGTCTTTGTTTCACCTGTTGAGGACTGTCCCCTGCACAACTCAATTCACAATGATTAGTGTGAGAATATAAGCTCCAAGATGATACACGAGTGGTATATAAGAGAAGCCGGTCCTAAGATTTTTGGGGTCTATAACGATTTCTATGTAAAAAAAGTTTTGGGGGGGGCTTAAAATTTTTTTTGGAGATTTATACTCATGTAATTTTCTTTAAAATTTTTGGGGGCCTAAAACGAATGTTTCATTATACATGCCTCAGGGCCAACTTGTAAGAGATTTGTCCAATCTAGTTATCGTCAATTGATTTTAAGTTGTAAGTTCAAAAAACTTAACAATTAGTCTATTTATATTTATATGGACCATACCAAGCATCATTTATAGGATGAAATGAAGTTTTATTTTTTGTTTTTACCTGGACATAAGATCTTTAATGAATCCGAGTCAGTTCTAGGGCTGCAAGGTATGCTGCTTGAGGAAGATGTAGAAAGTAAAGAACCATCTCCTCCATTGCTGCTACGGCTGCTACGGCTGCTACTAGGTGAAGGGATAGGCGAAAGCTGTCTATTCACAGCAAAGTAAAGATCTAATGCTGGTAATGTGTTGCACAGCTTCAGTCCTTCTTCTTCCTTGAAACCAAACCCTAACTCGATGGACCCTTTAAGCTCCCTTAAGTCTTCATCGGTTAGATCGGTCGGATCACAATCGCTGTCAGAGAGCCCTTTCTGCTTCTTTTCTTGAATCTTTAACATCTGCCGCCGCCTTTTCTCCCAAGCAACATCTCGCGGTGACTCACGCATTGATAGTTGCTTTGACAACCGTTGTTTTGGTTTCTGCGCGGCTAATGGCGCCACTACTCTAACTTCAGGCTCAGGAAGTGATGGAGATGAAGACGAGATTGGTAAGGTAAGGCCTTCTCGTCTCCTCACCATTGTTTTAATAACTTTTGAAGAGATTTCTTGTAATGCAAGGCAGGGGGTTTTTGATCTTAGAATTTGGAAAGATAACTTCTGCTACAAGTTAAGGCTTTGCTTATGAGTCTAGATGTATGTTCTTCATCTGCTGGCCGCGTGTGACACCAAATTTAACACGGCCAACAATGAAGCTTCTACGGGTCGGGCTGATCAGAAAATCTTCTGTATACTCTTTTTCTACCGGAAAATCTTGCCAAACCCGACCACATAAACTCTCACAAAAAGAGACTCAAGGAGCCTTTTAATGGAGGATTTGAGAAAAAAGTAGTTTTAACCATTGATTTATGCAATGGAGTCAAAAGCTATTTTCCTCCATTGTTTAAATTTGATTCAAAGATTTATTTTGGGATCTTTCTTTGTTTAGATTCTTGACCACCTAAAAAGAAAACGTGTTTTCATAATTATCCTACTCTACAAGAATGTACATTGACCAAAAACTTGTTATCTTTTTTTTCTATTTTAATGATCAAGTCAATATAGTTTTTTTAAGTCATGAATTATATTTCATTAGTGTAACATTAAATAACTCAAAAGTATATTTTTCTCTCTTCTAAGTTCTACCCAATTTGCTAAAGATAGTTTTCTACTATTAATCCTCTCCTCCATAGATTTCTCTAACTACTTTCTGTTTCTCTTTCAGACACAACACCAAAAAAAAAAAAAAACCAATGACCAAGGAAAACGAACGGTTTGTTTTTTGTCTTGTTGAGGTTTCTGCTCCTGTTTCCATGGCTTTGATCATACATTGTTAGGTTTGAAGAGAGGAGAAGAAACAAGCCTCCAAGTTTTCTCCCCTGGTTCTTGAGGTAACATATCCCCCCCCACAAAAGAAACGTAACCTTTTTTTAATGTTCCTGAGGATTTAAAACACGTACGTTTTATCTAATGTTTCAGCCATGAACGAGAAAACAAGGACCCTATGTTCCCTCCTATGTTTCTTCTCTGTTCTTCTTCTTGTTTCCATCTCTCAATCTAATGCCCAAGATGTTGCGTTGAGCTGCGGAGCGTCAGAACCATCTTCTGATCCAGACAAGAAGAAATGGGAACCAGACACCAAGTTCTTGAAAACTCCAAACACGGTTCACGCAACAGCTACGTACCAAGATCCATCTCTTCTCTCAACAATCCCTTACATGACAGCAAGAATCTTCACAGCTCCAGCCACTTATGAGATCCCGGTTAAAGGAGACAAAAGACATATGCTTCGGTTACATTTCTACCCATCAGAATACACAGGACACAACATTGATGACTCGTACTTCTCCGTAGCAGCTAACGATGTTACACTCCTAAGCAACTTTAGTGCGTCCATCACATGTCAAGCGTTAACACAAGCTTACCTAGTCAGAGAATATTCTCTTGCACCAACCCTAAAAGATGTCTTGACCATCACGTTTACTCCTTCGGATAAACATAATAAAGCGTTTGCTTTCATAAACGGTATCGAAGTCGTTGAGATGCCAGAACTGTTCGATACGGCTGTTCTCGTTGGGTTCACAGACCAAACAGCTGATGCTAAGTCCGCAAATCTTCAGACAATGTTTAGGCTTAACGTTGGTGGTCAAGATATTCCTGGAAGTCAAGACTCTGGTGGGTTAACAAGAACTTGGTACAACGATGCTCCTTACATATTCAGCGCAGGTACTCTATGTTTTTTTTTCTTGTTTGTAACATCAGAGCACCTCCAATCCAATGGGAGTTCTTACGGCATGATTCTTAGCGGAATATAAGAACTCGTCTCTTAATTTTTAACTAAAAAAAGCTAAGAACAGATTCTTAAATGTCTTATTTAAAAATCGTTTTTAGTTTTTTTAGTTAAAAGTTAAGAAACGGATATATTCCACTAAGACCCGCCGTAAGAACCCCTCATTTGGAGATGGTCTCAGGAGGTTCGGGGCCAAAGCCCGTAATCCTCCAAGGCCTAAAACCACAACATGTAATATTAGTTTCGTCTTAGCGCAGGTCTCGGTGTAACCCTTCAAGCAAGTAACAACTTCAGGATTGATTACCAGAAAATGCCGGTCTCGACCGCGCCACCTGATGTCTACAAAACAGCTAGATCACAAGGACCAAACGGAGATATCAACGTGAAGTCAAATCTCACATGGATGTTTCAAGTTGATACTAACTTCACTTACATAATGAGACTCCACTTCTGTGAGTTCCAGCTTTCTAAAGTCAACCAGAAGGCTTTCAACATCTACATCAACAACAGAACCGCACAAGGAGACACCAACGCTGCAGATATAATAGGATGGTCAGGAGGGAAAGGTGTCCCAACTTACAAAGACTACGCAATGCCCGTTGATGCTAACAACGGAGGTGAAGAGGTTTCACTTCAGATGACTCCTTCAACATTTGCTCAACCAGAGTATCTCGACTCCCAGCTCAACGGGCTAGAGATTTTCAAGATGGACACGATGAAAAACCTAGCGGGTCCAAACCCTAAACCATCTCCCATGCAAGCTAACGAAGATGGTAAAAAAGAGTTTCGAAGAGACAAAAGAATCACAGCTTTTATCATTGGTTCAGCTGGTGGAGTCGCAGCGGTTTTACTATGTGCGTTTTGTTTCACAATGTATCAAAGGAAACGTAAGTTCCAAGGAAGCGGCGACTCTTACACATCGAGTTGGCTTCCTATATACGGAAACTCACACACCTCCGCAACAAAATCAACTATATCTGGAAAGAGTAACACGGGAAGCCATTTATCTAACCTCGCAGCTGGTCTATGTCGGAGATTCACATTGTCTGAGATCAAACACGGGACTCAAAACTTCGATGAGTCTAACGTAATAGGAGTTGGAGGGTTTGGTAAAGTTTACAAAGGAGTTATAGACGGAAAAACAAAAGTGGCTATCAAGAAATCAAACCCTAATTCAGAACAAGGTCTCAACGAGTTCGAGACAGAGATAGAACTTCTCTCGAGGTTAAGACACAAACACTTGGTCTCCTTGATAGGATACTGTGACGACGGTGGAGAGATGTGTTTGATATACGATTACATGTCACTAGGAACACTTAGAGAACATTTATACAATACCAAGAGACCTCAGTTAACTTGGAAAAGACGTCTAGAGATCGCTATTGGATCAGCAAGAGGGTTGCATTACCTTCACACAGGTGCAAAGTACACGATCATACACCGTGACGTGAAGACAACAAACATCTTGCTCGATGAGAATTGGGTTGCGAAGGTTTCAGACTTTGGTTTGTCCAAAACCGGACCGAACATGAATCAAGGTCATGTCACGACAGTGGTTAAAGGAAGCTTTGGTTATTTAGATCCAGAGTACTTTAGGAGACAGCAGTTAACTGAGAAGTCAGATGTGTATTCTTTTGGAGTTGTTTTGTTTGAGATTCTATGCGCTAGGCCTGCTTTAAACCCTAGCTTGCCTAAGGAGCAAGTGAGTCTTGGAGACTGGGCTATGAACTGTAAAAGAAAGGGGACTTTAGAGGATATTATTGATCCTAATCTTAAAGAGAAGATTAATCCTGAGTGTTTGAAGAAGTTTTCGGACACGGCGGAGAAGTGTCTTTCAGATAGTGGTTTAGATCGGCCGACGATGGGAGATGTTTTGTGGAATCTTGAGTTTGCGCTTCAGTTACAAGAAACTGCTGACGGGACGACAAGTCAACGGACAACGCCTAGCCATGGAGGTGAGGCAGAGGATTTAGCTGGAGGTCAAGGCATGGCGGTTAACGTCGGCGGCGCCGGAGAACACGACGTGAGTGTATCTTCCGAGGAAAGCAGCGGGATATTTTCTCAAATTGTAAACCCTAAAGGGCGATAAGGTATTTACATAACTGAACAAAAGAAACATAGCCATTTTTTTTGTTTTGTTTTGTTTCCTGATATGGAAAGTAAGAGGAAAATGTGTATTAATCCCTTCTTTTATTATTTTCTTTATGTAATATGATAAGTGAACATAGCTAGATCTTCTTTATTTTTTTTTATATTACCCGTGCTTTATCAGTAAAACCCAAGCAAAACACTTGTGAAACTATATAGCTATGGCCTATGTGCTGTTATTACAATCTTATCAAGATATTGTATAATGGTTATGTGCTGTTCTTACAATGTTATCAAGATATTGTATAATGGTACGGAGTTTGAAGTTTTCTAACTATTAAACCAACCAGAAGTGGTCTACTAACGAAAACTCTTAATCCATTATTAATAGTTTAAAGGATCGGAGATTTTATTCCATCGAAAATTATTTATTACTTCAAAAATAAATTTATTATGGTTTCGAATTCGTCATATAAGATTATAAAATATATGGATTCTAGAATCTAATACCCATATTAGCCATTCAAGAAAAAGAATATATAGAAGTTTAAACCATCCCCTTATAGATGGCTATATGTTACCTTAGTTTATACTAATTGATAGCAATGTCTAAAAACCGGTTTAGGCGACAATTTCCCTCTTATCGAAATGATTTTTTTTTAAATCCAATTTATATAATTTAATTTCGTTTAAACTATTTTAAATCGATTTAAATTGTTCTAAAACAGCTGTAATCAATTAAAATTAGTATAAATATGTTATATTAAGTAATAATATTAGTATAGTTATTAAAATAAAATTATAACTAAACAAGAGAAAAGTAAAATAACTTATATAAATGTAAAATATATATAAAATAAACCAGTAATTTGTTAATGCCTAGTCCCTGTCTAGGTCTTGAATAACTCGTCTAGGCGCTAGTCCTCTATAAAACGTCTGCTTATTTTCTAGAACATTGATTGATAATGTTATAGAACTTTCACAAGTTTAGAAGCTAAACAGAAATAGCCTAAAGAAAAGTTTGAGGAAGTGTGATACTCATTCAAGAGTTAGAAACAGGCATCGGTGTTTTGTTTCTAATTTATTTGTAGACGTCCTTTTGGGATGGATGAGCCTGACTATGATATATCAGCTTGCGCTATGAAGCCCAAACAAAATGTTCAAAACTTACTTATGTACCAACCTCTAAAGCCAAGCATATAATAAACAAACTTTTGGTTCATTATAGAACTAAAATATTTCAAAAGCAACATGTAGTGGCTTAGGAATTTGTCATTTGTCATATGGCACCGAAGTCAAATCATAATCACAATAACAGGCGTGGTTTAGTTTAAATTGATTATATAACTGATTCTTTTGAAAATTCTGCAAGAAAACAGAAAAGTTCAACATACTTTTTTGCAGACTGGATATTTTACAATTATTTACAAATGCAATATTTATATGGTAGACTGGTAGTGTATATATTATAAAATGGCTCAATGATTTTGTCTTGGGGATCATATTCACATTCCTTAGTGGAAGTGGAACCAAAGGTCACTAAAATCATATTTTGATATCAAGAAGAGTATCAAGAATTCTTTATTTTAGCTTTGCAATCATCCTATGTCTCATTTTAGACTCTAGTACCTTCAGATTTAATCGAACAAGAGACTTTAAGAGATAACGTCGTACCTAAATTATTTTACGAAGTGTAGATCGAATCTTCCCAGATTATAAATATAAACGTCATCCTAATCGGATAACCTAGTTTGGTTATTATATTTTGGCTTTCTAACTAAATACAGTTGATTTAACAATACGAACATGTCATTGTTAAAGTTGCACATGGATGATGGATACATATTGTGTCATACATGTACATGATTGGATAGGAGTGAAATCGAAGAAAGGAATGGCGATAAGATATGCATCGTGGGCTTGATACGATATCCAAATTTAAAAAGAGGAAAAGAAAAGCTTCATGCGTCAGAAAGATTATTGTCAACCAAATAATCGATTTGCTCTTTGGCTTTTGCTCCTAATGTTTTCCACGGTTTCGAGAACCTTATTGGGATGCTCTAGGTATTATATAATAATAATGAGGTGGAGTTGGCCAATGTAGTGTGATGATGATAGTGGCTTTTGTAGGTGTGAAAATTGACGAAAACGAATCGGCCATGCCTACTTGACCTAACGAGTAGAGGACGAACATACGACGACAAAGACAACGACTATAATAGTACATAAAAATAGTGCTTTGGTCAATACAAAAGTTGAATTTCTTTTTTCTTTTTTTTTTTTTTTTTTTTTTTTGAACAAACAAAAGTTGAATTTCTAATATAGACTTTATAGTTTACGAAAACATATGAAAACTAATATCTCAAATCGTAGTTTTTTTTTCTTTTTCAAATCGTAGTTATAAGGGAAAACACAAGTCATAAGTATATTTATTTACTAATGGATGAACAAAATCGAAACTACAAGTACAAAGTAGTACTAACGAACAAAATAAATTTATTTTCAACCAGTTTATTACTACATGACGAGAAGCAAAGAGAATCTTTGCCAGGTCAACTCTGTGACTCTTGTTTCGCTTTGGGTCCAGTTTTTAAATTGTAATTTTACACTTTTTAAACGAGCGACAAAGAGCCAAATCAATCATCTGTAATGTGTGTTGGAACAAAAAAAAAAAATAGCTCAATGTGTTCACCGTATGTTTTGTGTATATTAATGCGTGACATGTCTCGTTCGATAAATGCGAAAAACATCCGGTGGTGCTATGAACATCATTACCATGTAACTCTTATTCTTAGAGATTAAATATTGTAGTTGCGTTTCTCCAACTTTTAATAATTGGCTGGATATAATAACTTACTTTTTGATGTATGTCAATACTATATGGGTTAGCTTCTTGCGTTGATCTTGTACGTGCTCTTGGTTTTTACTTTTTACTACTGAATGTACTTACGATACTCTAAATAGATATTAGTAATGGACATCGTCTTAAAGGGATTAAAAGCACCTTCAACCCAGACTCTTACAGGTTCTTAACGGATGTAGAACCCACAAAAAAAATTAAAACTCACCATTTACATTTCTTTTGCAAGAGGCAACTTTTAAAACATCTCCAATCACACTCTTTATTTTAAAGAAGAGACTTACTAAAAATAAAGAAATAAAGGGATATACCTCCAACCAAAACTTTTTAAAAATTTCTTTCAAAACTTTTTATATATATCATTTTAGTCTTCAATATTATTAATAATTAACTATAATCACTAAAATTTAACCCAAAAAAACAATAAATATACATTTCCAACAATATTTATAAAAATAAAAGACAACTCCAATAATAATATATAGTTAAATATACCTATACATAATATAAAAAGTGTCAATAATATATTTTAGTTGAAATAATTTATAGAAACTTTATCAATAAGTATTAAAACATGATATATAAAAAGTTATCATGAATTATAAAGACTAAAGTGAAAAGTGAATAGTATTTAATGAAATCAATAGTAACATTTTATATTTGAAGTGTCATTATTCACCCCTTTAAAACATAAAGGGATAAATGGTGCTTAGACATCTCCAACACTCGTAACCCCATATTTTTAAAGGTTTTGCATTCCAACAAATCCTTACTCCTTCAAATTTTAAGGGAGCGAACAATACACCCTCAAATTTGATAATGCACTGTTCACCCCTTTAAAATACTATTCACTTTTTAATTTAGTACTTCTATTTATATATGTTTAAGGATTGTGTACTATTATTTCTTATGTAGCATTCTACTATTATAGTTATATTGAAATTTAAATAATAGTAATAATATATAAATAAATATTTTATATCAGAATATAATAATATTAATAAAATATATTATTTCACATAATACATTTTGAAAATGTATGCAATACAAAATTTTATAATTTGAATTGTGTGTTTTATTATTATGTATAATTATGTTTATTATACGTAATTTCATATTATAGTTAAATTTGTTTACTAATTATGTCAATATCATAGATTAATATGTGTTTATTTTTTATTATTAAAGTTTAATGACAATAATTAACTATTAATAAAATTGAGGATTAAAGTGTAAAATATAAATTTTTAACAGAGAAAATTTGAGGGTCACTCTTAGAGGACTTCATAAAAATGAGAGAGCTTGTTGGAGATGCTCTTAGAATGCAAAACTCTTTAAAAAGAAAAAAAAAAAGTTAGAAATGCTCTTAGGAAATTTTTGTACTGTTCACCGATTCACTAAGTGCGAACCATAAATAGTTAGTTTTAATTATTTTTTTTAATCAGACAAAAAAAATAAGAACATTCAAAAGGATTTTTAGGTTAATATGCTCTAAATTCTTGTTTCGCATTTACTATGCCCACCAACCCATTTGGTGTTTGTTATCTATATAGTCTTTGAGTCGGCTTTTATCGTGAATTTTCTGTAGCATTTTTTTTGTTTTATTTACAGTTTTATCTTTTTGCTATATTTTAGTGATGTTTTTGTTTATATATTTATTTACGATGTAACACTTTTAAGTCTAAACTGTTTTAAACTGAATTAACATATTTAAAAAAAATCAAAGAAATTACATGTTTTATGCAAGAAATTATCCATTTTCAAGTTAAGACAAGAAACAGACATCAGTGCATGTTCAGTCAACATTCCAGTAACACGTGTTACGATAAAGACAGAAACATAAAGACAGGTGTCGCGATATTAGCGGTCACTTGTCCAAGTTGCATGCCCGAGATTCTAAGGAATAGTACATAGCTGGATCGTGGGGCCACTAGCGACAGTTCCTATTTTTATTTTATTTTCAATTTTAAAATATTTTCCTAATTCTTCCTTTTCACTTTAATTCTCATTTTAAATTTACACACAAAGATTTAACATTTAATTTTATATATTTTCAAAATAAAAACATAATTATATATACACTTTCATTTCTTAATTTTTTTCAACTAATTAAAACATAATATCATCTAAAACTAATAAATTTTACCTCCAAACTTTAAAACATATTTTATTTTGAAATAAATTTTTTCTCTAAAATTACAACTAATTCAAACGAAGGAAATACAAGACTAGAAAATACATACGGCATATAAATATCTTGTACATGTAGAAAGTAATAATTATGTAAAATATAAATCTTATGCATTTATTTGTAAATATTGTAGCATATATATAAATATGAAAGAAAAAAAAATCCCCCATAACATTTTACAAAATATCTGTTTATCTGAGAATTACTATTTATATTAACAAACCAAAACAAAAAAAACTCGACTACAATTAATAGATGCAAAGTAGGTCATGTAGTGGGGGACCTATCAAGAAATCTTATACAGAGGACTCTGTTTTTTCTTCTCCTTCCTATGTGACTGCGACAACCATCTCTCATAGACCCAACTCCACTCCACTCCACTCTCTCTTCTCTATGCTTTTCTTTTTTCTTTATTTAAAAACATATTGACAAACCAGAGAAAAGATTTGTATTTTAATGTGGCTGCTGAGGGAATATTTGTGAAAGAACCTCTTCCTTTCAGACGTAGAAGGCAAGTCCTTAACCCTTTTGTTTTTGGTAAAAACAAGTCCTTAACCTTGTACTTGCTTTTAAAACGCTTTTAACTTCTGGTAGATTCCTTGTTCTTCCTTCTTCTTGATTCATATGGGAAAAGATCTTTAAGTTGTTAACCCCTAATACATTTCATGGTTTTAATGTTTGGCTGTGCTCATGAGTCATGATGATTTGCTTTGCCTTTTCCAACAGTTTTTAGGGTTTGGGTTCAAGAAGCTTCTCACAAATTTGATTTAATTGAATTTTGATAGGTCTGAAGCTTGTGTGTGTAGAAGAGAAAAAATGGAGGAAGTTGAAGCTGCAAACAAAGCAGCAGTGGAAAGCTGTCATGGAGTCTTGAATCTCTTGTCACAACAAACCAATGATCCTAATAAATCCATAATGGTTGAAACAAGAGATGCAGTTTCCAAGTTCAAGAGAGTCGCTTCTCTTTTGACTAGAGGGTTAGGAGGTCAAAGAAAGATCAAGAAACTCAACAACAACTACTACAAGTTTCTATCTCCTTTGTTGCCCCAACACATCTTTTTAGAAAGTCCCATTTGCAATAACAATGCTACAACTGGTACCATTCCAGTTCTAGCACCAAAGCCTCTTCAGATAGTACCACCTGCTGCTCCTAGTTATGGTGAACAGAGACAGGTTCATCCTCCTCCACCTATGATGCTTAACCAGAAAATGTGTATTGACAAGTCGTTTCTGGAGCTAAAGCCACCGTCTTCTCGAGCTAACATCGATCATAAACCATATCAGTTTGTGCGTAACCACCAGCAAGGAGTGTACTATCGGACCAATAGTGGTTTAAACCTAAAGTTTGATGGGTCTTGTAATGGTGGTAGTTGCTATTCCCCAAGTGTTTCCAACGGATCAAGATCGTTTGTTTCATCTCTTAGTATGGATGGTAGTGTGACTGATTACGATAGAAACTCCTTTCATCTGATCGGATTACCTCAAGGGTCTGATCATACATCTCAGCAGCATTCTAGGAGGACAAGCTGCTCTGGTAGTTTGAAGTGTGGAAGTAGGAGCAAGTGTCATTGTTCCAAGAAAAGGTGTGTGTGTGATGGTTTTGTCTTCTTTTTCGAGAGAAAAAAAAAGTGTTTTGTGTTATAATAAGATGTTTGGTTCTTTTACAGGAAGTTGAGAGTGAAAAGATCGATCAAAGTACCTGCAATAAGTAACAAGATTGCTGATATACCTCCAGATGAATATTCATGGAGGAAGTACGGACAAAAGCCAATAAAGGGTTCTCCTCATCCTAGGTAAGTAATATAGTTTACATGCTTAGTCATTGGACTTTGTTCTTATGTTTGGTTTTTAATGTTTTTGCAGGGGATACTATAAATGCAGCAGCGTGCGTGGTTGTCCAGCAAGGAAGCATGTTGAACGATGTGTAGATGAAACTTCGATGCTTATTGTGACTTATGAAGGTGAGCATAACCATGCGAGGATGCTCTCTTCCCAATCAGCTCACACCTGATTAGCTAAACCGGTCTAGTAGCTGCTATCTGCAATTGTATATTCTATTTAAAGTTAGACTATCTTGCATCACAAGTTTGGCTTCAGCCTTATCTATATATAGATATTGTTATAAATGGCTTAATCTAGAAAGGGTTTTCTTTTTTTCTTGTATCAGATGTTGAACTGATGTATCTGATATGATTTGGTTCCTCTTTGTTCTCTTTAACAATTTCATTAGAGAATGTAATTATAGTAGTAAACGCTCTAGAATTAGCTTTAGGTTTCTTTAATAAAATTTTAAATTAGTTAGAAATGAGACTTATCTTGAAACTAATCATCAGCAATCATTAGAAATTATTAAACCAGCTTTGAGTTTTAACATAATCGATTCAATCTTTAGCTCTAAGATTACTCAATACTTAAAAATATACAATGTCAGGTTTAAACGTTACGTAACATTAAAACAGAAATCAAGTAGAGACAAACGTGAAACAGAAAAAAAAAACAATCAATAAACCGCTCGAGGAGAACGATTGTGAAACTGAACAATCAGGTTTGGTTCGGTTTTTTTCCGGTATAATAGTAGTAGGTTATGGTAACCCTAAACCCTTCCTCCATGGAAGAATCTTCTTCATTTACATCACAGGCTTCAACTCTGTTTTGCCGACGCTGCCTCGGTTCTGTGTAGAGACTGACTTCGGATTGTCTTCACCAGAAGAGTTAATGGAATCTCCGCAACTCTTTCTCCTAGACATATTGAGTTTTGGCGACTTTGGACGCGTCAAAGGAAACTACATATTGACACAAAATAACATTTTTGATAAGCTTGCTTGTCACACAAGAAACGTATTGTGAGATAAATCAAGATACAAAACCTTCTTAAGCTCTGGTTTAACGGGAGGTCCTTGGTAATAAAAGTTAGGGACGGGATTAGCCTTAAACTTGAGGTTTTTTCTTAACTCTTTTATGGCTGCTTCTTGTTCTTCCTGTATATTAATTGCGTTCTCATTTAGATGTGTAGAAAAGGCAAAAAAATCTTATACATTTTCTTGATTTTTAGTTAGTCATATAGTACTTGCCTTTTGCCTTTGTTCGAGCTCGTTTCTTTCAGCTTCTAATGCTTGGTGTTTCTCTTCAAGCTTTTGGTAGTACTAAACCCAAAAAAAAAAATGAAAGTTAAAATCAGTGAACAGAACAGAAGATTAGTAAAATTGTTAATTTCCGTCTCATTTCATTAGTGAACCCTATGCAAATGAGTACATACCTCCTTGCGTTTCTCAGCGCGCTGGGCACTCCTAAACCGTGGAGCGGTTCCATGAGTTACTGCTCTAGGCTTAGCATTTCTCAACGATGTTGCAGCACTAGAGTAAAATATCGTCAAGAATCACCAACAAAGTAAAGATACTAGTTATCACAAATAAGCAGATGGATAAGTATTATTTTGTGAAGTTAATCTAATACTAAAGAAAGGATACGAAGAAGTAAGAGAAGATTCATCTTCTTCATCCAAACTGTTCTTGTTCTCAGGCTGCAACGGCTTCTTCACATCATTCTGATATTATATTAGAAACAAAAGTAGGTTAAAACCATTTTCATATCTCAGTCAATTACAATTTCCCGCAGTGATTACATTAGGAGAAGATTGGTGATTCTGAGAGAGAGAATCCTCCTCAGTGCATTCTTTAACCTCATAATCCTCCTCTGCAGCTATCTTGGGAGGCACGAGAACGCTTTCCTTGGATGTATTTTTGTTCATTGACTCAACAACTTCTCTTCCCATTTCCAGCTAAACTACCTTGTTTCACCCAAAAAAAAAAAAACTACGCTCAAAACATATTTTAATTAATGCCAAAGGTTTCAAACTGTTTTTTTTTTTTTTTGTTATTTCAAACTATCATCTCTCTGATTGAATTTCCAACATCCTACCAACCTAATAATGTGTTCATAATCATAAAAGCAAAAGGTTTCATATTAATATGAATCTGAACATTTCGGATCCAAAAAGAAATAACCAGCATGAATCCAGATGACGATAACATTTAGCAAATATTAGGACATATTTTTGGTTGATGCGAGGAACACATTATTCCACAAACAAGATACAAAAACAGGGGAGAACCAAACAAAAAAAGTTTCAAAAACAAAAAACTAAAGCAATTGCACAGTGAACCGGACATAATCTAGAACCAAACCACATGAGGAGAGTGATGTCGCGCTACTAAAGAGAAATGTTTTATGTGTCAAAAGATTATAGTCAGCAGGAAATGGTAATTTATTATTTCATATTGTTTTTTGAGAAACAAGTAATTTCACAAACTCATCATGTTGGTGACTTTTTTCAGGGGTCTTCGTGACTACTCTTTCCGGTTTTTCGTGAGTTTTTTTTTTCAGACAAGAAAGATAATAACTATCTCTCTCTCTCTCTCTCTCTCTCTCTATCTTAAGGAAAAAGAAAGATACGCTTATGTTTCTGGCGGTGACTGTTATGGAACTGCTATTCATTTGATTTGTTAAGCTGTTGGATATTTATCGGCTCTGTTTTTTTTCCTTGTTTAATTTGTCATTTATTTCTTTTAACAGCTTTTTCTATTTTTAGTCATTTCTTATTGGCAACTAATTCTTCATCATAGCAATTAAATACTCGAAAAGAATATTTCTGTCCAGACAATAAATAAAGTCCTTGTCCGTTGATGAGTTGAACAGTGAGAAATCTATTAATAAAATAAAAAGATACTCACGTTTTTTTAATTTAATCGTAATTAAATACTATGAAGAATCAGTTTTTGCATCCTTTATCTTCAACGACTACAATTAAAATGTATACTTTTCTTATATGTATCTGTCGACAAAATTGAACAGAGAGAATTGTCGTGTAAAATAAAACATCCTCGGATAACACGTGAATCGTCTTTTGTGCTTTGGTCGGGGTTTTTAAATTCGCGTAGTCAATGTTGACGACGGTTAGTTAACGCCGACACGGGTAAAAACACCCTCCAACCCTACTCTTCTGATTTCAAATCTATATCTGGGTCCTCTTGTCTCTCAACACATATGATTAGTGTGATACGTGCAATTACTTAACGAAGTATATTAATATGTTACACCAAAAAAAAAGAAAGTATATTAATATGGTTTGAAAAGTCTTCCCACTTTCTTGTATTCATAGTTCAAGCTGGGGAAATTAGGTATCCATTTTGGGGAAATGCATTAGCTTTCTTTAAAAAAATTGCAGCTTTTCTTATCTTATGAGATGTATTAATGAGAAATCCATTATTACTTTAATTTCAAACACCCACAGCGACGGCATAAGTATGCTTCTTTTATGAAGAGGCAGCGTCATATGACTCGCAGACTCGAACGTGGGTTTTTATATATAAAAAGTTACTTGTATTTTTGAAAATAAGACAGAAATGTTACAAACTTACTTATTACCAACCATATAATATATGTTTAGTATGAGATTGTTGACCCTAGTGAAAGATTTAGATGGTCCCGCCACTGTACTTACATGTGTCGTGTAAGTGCGCAAAATCTGTATGGATATTCATCCAAGGGCTGACGCAGGCAGTAACTAGGTGTGGCATGTGCCCCACACTGTTTTTAAATTTTGCTTTAACAACTAATATATAATTTATTTAAGTGCCTTCAGTCAAAAAAAAAAAACTGCCGTCAGCCTAATTATTTGTTATAATGAATGCCCATCGTCCTGTTGGAGTTGGACCAACCATGTGATCACGTATTTGAACTGATCCTTCATATTTTTTTTTAAAACTGATCCTTCATATGTTCTTTTTTAAACTGATCCCTTCATATGTTTCAACTTCTAATTTTATTTTCTACCGAATGTGCGGCGTGCGTGCATGGGCCATGGAATCATGCAAAGAAGAAGAAGAGAGCAATATAGTGATTCTCTTACTCTGGACTCATAAACAAATTGCCAAGGCCGAGTCTGTTCCTCTCACTAATCAAACCTACTAGGCCCATTCAGAATTTATTAGTGATCACATTTAACACTTCTAGACCAAAATTTCTATTACAATTCGGCAACATTTGTAAGAGGAAATAATGTTCTTTTTTTCCAAATATGCATAGAAAACTGAGAAAATACATCTTTTTGAAACAAATTATAAGAGGAATTAATTTTTTTAAAAATCATTTCTTTTCGATATGTACATTATCAACAAACTTTGATGAGGCAAGATATTTTTATCAAGCATATTTTACCCGAGCTTTTTGGGTATCTTCTTTTAGTAGTGGTTTGATGGTATTGGAATGACTTATCACTTGGCCTTGCTTTAGACTTCTAAACACGGTTGTTGGGTTGACGTCCAAAGCTGCCGCTAATGATCTTATTGTTGTTCGACAACGTAACGGAACATCTACAACTCTACTCAAATCAATCTGCGTTTTTTTACGATCGCATTTTCCTTTCCTCCTGTGGGAGACATCAACAACTTTACCGTTACCAGTATTCTTTGCCCTTTTCCATATGCTTTGCACTGTTTGTAATGGCACATCTAATAAATCAGAAACCTCTCTCGTACTCTTTTTAAATAACTTCCCATTGTCACTTATTTCCAGTAAAGCATGGTAAACTTCAACTCTTTCTTCATCTGTCATTTCTTTTCTTTCAGGGATCGTTTCTTGTTGATTTTGTGATGTTTCCTGATTTTCTGCAAATTTTAATCACGTACCATTAGTATACAAAAAAAACAAATAATATAGCAAGCCACTATGGAAAGTATAAACACATAAATCACTACAAGAAAACAATGCCCACTCCGATGAAATTTACCGAGAACTTGTTTTGTGGGAAAGATCATGACATCTTTGTGATAACATTCCGATGACATATGAATTTTGTCGGAATCATGTTGGAACTTTCCGATGCATCTGTTTTCTCGGTATCTTCTCGGGATGTGTACTCGGAACTTTGTCGGAAACCAAAAACAATTCTGAGGAACAGGTTTTGTAGGAAGTTTCTCAGAAATGGTCGTCGTTAATTTCTCGGGACAATCAAATTTCCCACAATCAATTGTCTTCTCGGTATGGCTTCAGAAAATTAGACGATATATTGTCGGAGATCTCTCTCGGAAATTACCGACGAGAAATTATTCTCGGAAGATTTGACGAAAATTTGTCGCTTTTTGAAGCGTACATGTGACGCTTTGAAGCAAAACCAACCATGGTTTGTCTGAACCTTTGTTATATAAGCGTTCATGTGTAGATCTGAAGTAGAGAAAATTTGGAACATACAGTATAATTAGTGTCTGCAGCAAATCGATTTACAATTGAGATTGGATGAGGCTAAAGACTCTAAAAAGCCATTTGAGCATTGAGAAGGTGATAAAGAAGATGTTTACAGAAGATTCTGGGAAGATGACGATGAAGAAGATAGCCTTGAGATATTTATTTAATATTCTGTTTTAGTGTTTCTACTTTCTACATTTATCCTTTTTAGTATTTTAATTTGGTAAGTTATTTAGGTATTTATCTTTGTATTTATCTTGTAAACATTATGTTTCATATATATTTTTAATAATCAAATGGTGTATATTTGTTCCTCTGTTATCTATTAAAATTCTAAAAAGCATATTTATTTATCACGGTGGTCTTCAAACAATTTTCCAGAAATATAAAGTGGTTTCACCGGAAAAACTGTAGCACCGATTTCTCATCATTATAATCAACGAAATATTTCATCGGAAAGGCTTTTGTAAATACTGATCAACTTCCGACAAATAAGCCCGACCAACTTCCAAGCTTGCTCCGATGATTTTGTGACTCAGATTTCATCGAAACTGCCTCGGTATTTTCCGACAAACAATTCCGACAAGTCTTTCCGAGAATATGTCTCGTTGGTAACTTTCGACGCAGTTCCGACAATACTCCATTTCCGAGGCCCAAACCCCGACTAATTGCATTTTCTCGGAAACCCATCGGTTAGAGCTTGTTCCAATGATTTCCCGACAAAAATGGATGTCGGTATGTGATGCTCTTTCTTGTAGTGAATTAGTATACTCAAACATGTTACGATTATAATACTCCATACTAAAAGTGGTCATCAAACAAAATACAAAATCTGTTCCACGGCTGAGAAAAATACTATAGACAACTAATAGTATTAGAAATTAATGTTAGATAAACAAATAATATAGCAAGTTACTATGGAGAGTCAAACAAAGTATAGACACAGAAAATAATAATTTACTCAAATATGTTACGATGAATAATACTCCATACTATATATAAGTGTTCATCAAACAAATACAGAAAAGAAAAATCTACTCCTGAAAGGAGTATTTAGGCTCAAACATGATACGATTAATAATAATACTATAGGCAACTACTATTAGAAATTAACGATAGATAATTGAAAAGTAAATTATTACATATAATAATACATGTAGCAACTTTTCAGAATAAGTTATAGAAGAAACCTGTTACAATTGTAGAAGAAACTTCCACATCGTTATGATTTGGATTGTCTAAATCACCTTCAAAGGAATTTGGTGGTGTACTGTTTAAATCAAAAACGAACTCTCTATCTCCCTCACAACTCATAATAAGAATGCTTAAATTAATATTGTGAGGAAAAGTCATCACTTAAATGTCTGAGTTACAATCTTTCGTATACTTCAAACATATATAGTCACTTGATTTTGGTACTAAAATCAAAATTTGAGTTGAGTTTTAAAACTTTTGGTTCCAAAGCTTTTTAAAAAAAAAAACAAATTCCCATAGTCAAGAAAATGTAAAGTTTCATTAGTGGAATGTTGACCACACTAAATATGAAATATGGGAAACTGATATTAACACATTGAAAGCAAAATAATGACAGAATTAGTCGATGATTTTTTAACGTAAATATTTTTTGTTATTTTTATTTCTTTTATTAATAATGACAATAGTTTAAAATAGATATTTCAAAAACTTTCTTAATATCTGTCAAAATCTTAGAACATGGATATTAATGAAACGGAGAGAATACTAATTATGGAGTCCACATAGTAGATCGTTAGAAACGCAAATAAGCATATACTTAGAAACCAGACGATCCATTTTTCTCTCTTACTCAGTCAACGAACAACCCGGCGACGAACACGCGTCACTTACTATCTCCTCGAAGCGTTGTTTATAATGCTTTACTCGCCTCTTCAATTCTTTTCTAATTTCCCAAAAAGAAAGAGTTAGAAACTAATGGCGACGGAAGTAGCAACTCCGGTTCATGCACCGGCGTCATCTCCGGCGACCAACCTCATTGTGTCCGCAACAACAACCGCCGTGGATACTCATAAGAAGAACAGGATTCAAGTTTCTAACACCAAGAAACCCTTGTTCTTTTACGTTAACCTCGCCAAGGTAAATGCAAATATACAATCGTTAGGTTATCACAGCAAAATGTTTCTTGGTGGTCAAGCAACCGATTTATATATGAATTTAGCATATTTATTTTATTTTCGTGTGTATCTAATGCAGAGGTACATTCAACAACACAACGAGGTCGAGCTTTCTGCACTTGGAATGGGTAAGGTTACAGCCATTTTTTTTTCTCATTTTGTTGTTCTGTGTGTGTATTTTAAATACGTTTGATATATAGATTGATTAATTGTGTATATGCAGCGATCACAACAGTGGTAACTATCTCAGAAATTTTGAAGAACAATGGACTTGCAACAGAAAAGAGTACGTTTTAACATTGTTTCCTTTATGATCTGAAAATATTATTTTTCCTGAAAATTTCATTTGTGTGACAAAAATAAACAGAAGTTCTGACATCAACAGTGGGAATGAAGGACGAGAACAAAGGGAGAGTAGTTCAGAAGGCCAAGGCCAGTCGATTATTATCCCTTCAAATTGCTTAAGCTATAAGATCTTTTTATTAATGTATTTTCACTTTTATTATATTTGCATTTGTGACATGTACAGATTGAGATTGTATTGGGAAAATCAGACAAATTCGATTCTCTGATGACTCCGGCGACCAAAGATACAGTGCCGGAGGAGAAGGCAGTGAACAAGGTGGAGAAACCAATAGAAGCTGAAGCTGAAGGCAAGAAGGAGTGACCATGTAAACAACTTTCTTCAGGTTTCGTGGATTAATATAAGTTTCTTTGCATAACGAACAAACTTTGCTTCGTTACTAACTCAAAAGGCATGTCCAAAAAAGTTTTGTGGAGTTATGGAAAGACAATCAAATGTTGTGTTGATGATTTTTTTGTTTTGTTTAACTCTACCTCTTTGTTGAACAATATAAATGCTTTCTTGAGTATATCTACTTAGGTTTGGAATTTTTTATATCACGAGATATCTAAGTAGGCCTTGAAGCCCATGATATCAAATAAGGGCCCACTATAGTAAGCCTACGAGATAAATATTACCGTTGATGACTAGTGAAATAATTCATGTGCGCCAACCTGATATACTTTGTTTGATTAACAACATGGTGTTGTAACTTCAAAGTGTCAAAGTTGGAGAAGTTTTCGCTCGAGATGCACAACACACGAGCTTTCTTAACCGTTTATGAAATTCAACTATTTAACACGGATATAATCAAATTAAATTTTTTTAATTAATCGAATTCATGATCATTTAGGAGTTCAAGTCTAAACATATAGAGTGTGTTTTAAATTTATGAATACAAGTCTCGATGTTGGAAAGATGACTTTGTCTGTCCTTGACTTCCAAAGACACTGTGGATGATTGGTGACATCCAACGAATTTATAAGGTAACTGTAGAAATTTCATTGTAAAATTGAATTTTTAGAATTTTTAATGTGAGTATCTAATATAATTATAGTAGTTAAATGAGAAAATAAACCAAAAAACATATATTCCAACAAAAATATTCTTTTTCACGGAAAATGACTCCTACATTTTTTTGTATTCAACCTAAAAAACTATAAAAGCATAATTGATAACAATTTAATTTTTCATGTATAATTCTCACAAAACAAAGTAATTCTTTTTTAGAATATTTTTTCTTTAATGGTTACTCTAAAAAGAGAAAAAAACATATGGTTTGATTGGAGATGTCCACTCTTGTAATAATTAAAAAATAAAAATAAATAAATGTCTAGAGAGGGGAGAAGTAGAGGTGGGAAAACGGCACGAAGTTAGAAGGTGAAGCGGATGGATAGAGCGATGGGTCATTTAACGTCTTTGAATTTCATGAAAATGGAAATGAAGATGTGACGTTTCATTGGAAGAGGGAAAAAGCTTCACCTAAACCAAACATGGCATGTGAATTTTAATGTCTTTTCTCTTTTATTATTTTTTATCTTTCTTTTTTCACCGAACTTAGTCACATGCTGCTCCCTCTATCATGACCTCTAATTTCTTAAAGAAGATAAGAGTTCTCTAATTATTCCCCATTATTCTTGTGAATAGGCATGCTTATCAAGAATACTGAATATGTACAACTTTTGATTTTTTACTGAGTCTTAAAGGATAAAATTTGTATTTGTATAACTTTTTGCTTTGGTATTGAGAAGGTTACTATATTTATAAAGGATGTAATTTCAGATTTTAGAAAAGGTAACAAAACTGACTGAATGATTTAAATTCTTTAACTTTCCCTTAATAGTGAAACGCTCTAGATTTTTAGAACAAATATTACAAAACTGATTGAACTATTTAGAAAAAGATAACTTTGCGACTCGACAAATCTTATAGATCTTTACTGAAATAAGCGATTGAGCATTTGACGAAAGATTGACAAACTGAAACTTTATCAATGAAGGGATGGGAGAAAAATCTATAGAGGTGTGAAAGAGGAGAGGAATGGGTTGAAAAGTAGGGTATGTTTCCTTGTAGAGATCATAAAATTATTTGGATGCCACTCTGCTAATCATTAATGCCTTCATACCCACCCACATGTTCCCTTTACATGTAGTTTCAATCAATTTGGTTGGAAAGAACACAAACACAAAGCAAAGTATCAGTAGTAACCTCACCACTATTCTCAAATCATGGTTTCTTAAGAGTCATTCACTTCTTCTTTTGGAAACTCTTTTTATCATTACTATTACCAATATTGCTTTTACTTAACCCTTCACATCATGTCTATGCCAGTTTGGTTCAAGATATATATTTGCGTGCTTTCAAGTAATCGACATCAATTTGTACTAGCCACAAACAAGAACAAAATAACAGAAATCTTTGTCTACGGTGTTGATAGTTATAAGTTAATAACATTTTACCAACTCAACCAGAATAACTGCTAGGAGTCACGATACTGATAAGTTAACTGAAATTTTTTAAGATAGTTCAGTTCAATCGTATTCATTATATATGGTGAGATGATCAGTAATAATATTATAAAACAGAAAAACAACATTATGTTATAATATAAGTAAACCGCTATCTTCAGACTAAGAATTTATGTATATGGTCAATATCATGTATGATATTATTTAGACAATTCACCTTGTGTTTTTTTTTCTTATAAGATTTCAATATTATCTATTAGTCGAAAGATCATACAAGATTTCGGAGTTGGGAGTAGTGCCACTGGATAACTCTCGTGTATATAATGTTGATATTATTGTTTAGTTATATTTTTGAGGAATCTTATTCTACAACATCAAATTTTAAAGAGGAGTCTTGTCGCTAAAAACAAAGAAAAGGAGGAGTCTTGTCAACCACCTTATTGCTAATATTGAGAGATGGATTGGACATGGCTTTCAGAGATCATGTGAGCTTTTGGGACCCGATTCCTTTATTATTGATCCCCTAATTCACACAAACAGATATATATATATATATATATATATATATATGTATGTATATATATCTATTATTTTTGGTCAAAACAGATATATATATCTATATATACATGTTTTTGTGGTTAAATATTTTAACAAATATCACCATGATAGCCCCTACTATCAAACCGTTGATTTGTTGAACATATAAAAGTATGTAACGAGAGAAAGTTTATGTTATGGTATACTTATCAAAAAAAAAAAATTACAAATACGCATTTCAGTTTAGTAACAAAATGATTATAAACGGTTGTTTTTATAGTGTTATGGAGTTGTTTCAGTTTCTAACTTTCAATTTGCATATTTCAACTACTTAGACGGATAGTCTGTTTTAATCCATCGGTCCGGCTAGTAGCAGAAAAGCGTTTCAGCTCCCAACTTAAAAAATGTTACCAATACAAATCTGATTCAGACTTTCATATAAACAAGTCTTGTGACAACAAACGGATAAACATCAGAAATAAGTTGTTCAGGGTGATATATTTTGGTAAACACCATCCCGTGAGTATTGCCGCTGCATCACATTTAGTGGAAATCAAGTAACTCATATATTTAACACGAACGATGTGGTCAACAAAACCTTATAAAATCGAACAAATGACTAAATATGGACTAGTTTTCATACTATAAAGTAGCTTATTAAACCACTATGAGCAACACTTTTCATGAATTCCAAAACAAGTAGCTGAAGCTTCAAAAGCTTATTTTGTATCCAATAATAAGTGAAGAATGCAAGACTAGACCAAATAATAGCCACAAAGGTTTCATTTGTAATTATTTTTCATTCACATATAAGTATAACCATCTATATATCATCGTTAAGTTATAAATCCTTGAACTGTTTTATTTTTTGGAACAAAATCCTTAAACTTTTTTTTTGTTCAAAATCCTTAACGGGTTTTATTTTTAGTGTTCAGCATCTTTATAAAAGCTGTTTCTATAAAAAGAAAATAACTTTATAATGAGCTATCGTTCACATATTCGTCCAAAGCTGGCCGTACGGACAAGCCAACGAGAAGCGTATATAGGGTGAGTATGAGGCCCCAGACTTGTAAATTACTAGTGACGTCGAAAACAAACAAAAAGACTTAAAATTACAAGTAGCTTGATGGTGTTTCATCCATGCATCATATCAAAAGTTAGATTCGCATACCTCATCCTTCCAATTTATTTTCCTATGTTTTTCCTCACGAATTTAATTATGTCGTCCTACTTTCTTTATTCTTTTTATTGTTATTCCTTTATTCTCTAAGCATTTTTTAAGCTGTAAAGTATATCATAGTTATTTTTTCTCAGACCAACTTACCTATATATATGTATGTGATTGTAGGGTTTGCTGATCTCCAAACCGAATGAGAGAGAAACGGCTGAATGAATATTGTTGATTACATTTATTTTAATCAAATTACGTCATTGGTACTCTATTTGTCTTTTACTTTTTGATGCTTTTGAGCTATACACATAGATTATATATATATATATATATATATTTACATTTTAAAATAAAAATAACATTAACTATCTAACAAACCGTAATTTAACCAATAGACCGATATACAGAATAAAAAAAAATCATGTATACTATGAAATCAATAAATTTTACAGTGAAAATTGAAAACATCATGTACAGTAATTTTTAAAACTAGAAAAAAAAATTTCAAACATATCCTTTATTAAAAAACCGAGGGAATATAAAACCAGAACCTTGTCAATAATTTACCACATATACAGAAGGATAAATTTGGTTGAAATTGTTTTTTGGGTGAAGAATAAATTGTTTTATTTTGTGCAAAAAAGAGACCGATAAATTGTTGGTAGGTGGAATCCTAGAGTCATAGTTCAATACCATTATTTGAAATACTAGTATTCAATATAGAGCACGTTTGCATATATTTCTTGTCAGATGTAGAATCTAACAATTGGTAAAGACATATCTGAATACTATAAAACATAGATTTATGGAAGAAAAAGGTGGAGTTGTTCTTGTTTTTATCAGAAACTGAAACCTAAGAGTACTGTCACTTGCCATTAAGCGTTTCTCATTAGTTATTTATAAACCGACAATTAACAAAACTTGCCAAATTTTAGGCGAGAAAAGACATAAAATATAGTGGACATCACATGTTTGACACATAGGCGTTTTGTTGTTATGGTCGTTTGCATGTAAAATGTGTCTCCCATTTAATTTCCGTGCTCACTTTAAACTAAAGTACTATATTTTAAAGGTTTTTATTTGCTTTTCGACCAAAAGTTTTCTTTCAGCACCATCCATCCTGGGTATTATATGTCAAAAGGAATTTA